GGGACCCAGGGCCCGATCGCGGCAATGAGGTGGATTTCAGACATAGAGGTGTGTTTCTTTACTTTCTCATCTCCAGAGTATTTGAGAGTCCGGTTCGCGCTGAACCAGCTTCGCTTGGGAGCGAAGGACTGGTGGAAGTTTGTGACTGTGCACTTTACGCCTGATGAGCTTGTTGCGGTGACCTGGGAGAGGTTCACCGCTATGTTTCGATATGAGTACGTTCCCCAGGTGGAGAGGGAGCGTTTGCCCAAGGAGTTTCTGACCCTCAAGCAGGGTACTGAGTCTGTTACGGTGATTACGAGGATGTTTCATGACCGGGCGATGTTCTGCCCAGAGCACATGTCCTCCGAGTAGGCACGCATGAGCCAATATTTGAGCATTCTGAGGAGGGATATATGTGAGTTCGTGGCGAACTCGACGTACCAGACATTTTCCGAGCTTCAGGCAAATGTCCGGAAGAGGGAGATAGAGTTGGAGACCCAAGTCAGGGAGGAGGCTGAGTCTCAGGGAAAGGATCGGCAGCCGGCTCAGTCTCAGCCAGCAGCCAAGCGAGTCAAACCCGCTAATTCGAGATTTGGGAACCAGAATGGCTGCACTTGTGGCAAGTGCAGCAAGAGCCACAAGGGGATTTGTAGAGCAGGGTCTTGCTACAAGTGTGGCAAGGAGGGGCACATGGCCAAGGATTGCCCCAAGGGTTTTTAAGTCTGTTTTCATTGCAACCAGACTGGACACCGGAAGGCAGAGTGTCCACAGTTGCGGGGGTCAGCGCAGGGAGCATTTCCGGGATCAGCCCCTGCTGTGGTGAGAGCTGCGAATGTTCAGCCTGCGAAGGTTGAAGCACCGAAGGCATGTGGGAGAGCCTTCCAGTTGACTGCGGAGAAGGTCCGCGCAGTGCCCAATGTCGTAGCCGGTATGTACTCTTTCATGTATTCTTTTACATTCTGTGATGATTGTGCTTATATTATGTTATGCGTAGGTACCTTCCTTGTGAATTCTGTACCTGCTCTAGTGTTATTTGACTCGGGTGTGAGTCGATCTTTTGTATCGTTAGCCTTTAGCCGACACATCAGTACTAGTAGAGAGGCGATGAGTCGACCTCTGAGAGTTTCCATAGCGGATGAGAGAGCGGTGTATGCCACCGAGGTGATTCGTGGTTGTGTACTCAAGATTTTCGGGGTTGAGTTTCCGATAGATTTGGTCCCTATTGTGATGGGGGATGTCTGTGTCATCGTGGGCATGGACTGGTTGAGCATATTTGGAGCTATCATCAACTGCGAGCGACAACTGGTGACCATGCGAGACCCTAGTGGGGGAGTTCTTACGGTGTACGGCGAGGGTACACATTCCGGTTCAGCGTTTTGCTCAGCCGCCAGGGCGAGGCAGAGTCTTCAGTAGGGATGTAAGGGATTCATAGCGTATGTTATGGATGCGAGGGTTGAGTCGGAGAAACCGAGGTCTGTGGGAGAAGTTCTGATAGTGCGTGAGTTCCCGGATATATTTCCGAAGGAGTTGCCAGGTGTACCTCCTGTGAGGCAGGTGGAGTTCAGTATTGATTTGGTTCTGGGGGCCGCGCCTATCGCCTTACACCTCCAGAGATGCAAGAGTTATCCTCGCAGCTGCAGGAGCTGCTGGGAAAGGGGTTTATTCGGCCGAGTAGTTCACCGTGGGGAGCTCCTATCCTTTTTGTCAAGAAAAAGGATGGTTCACACCGGATGTCGAGGATTGACTATTTGTTCGATCAGTTGCAGGGAGCATCTTGGTTTTCCAAGATTGACTTGAGGTCTGGATATCATCAGGTGAGGGTGCGCAATGAGGATATTCAGAAGACATCATTTAGGACTCGTTACGGGCATTACGAGTTCGTGGTGATGCCTTTCAGGCTCACCAACGCACCAGCGGTGTTCATGGACCTCATGAACAGGGTGTGCAGACCGATGTTGGATCGCTCGGTAATCGTATTCATCAACAACATTTTGGTGTATTCGAGATCTAGAGAGCAGCATGAGGAGCATTTGAGGGAGATCCTAGGGGTTTTGATATCGGAGAGGCTTTATGCCAAGTTCTCTAAGTGTGATTTCTGGTTATGAAAGGTCCAGTTCCTGGGACATCTCGTTAACTAGAAAGGGATATTGGTTGACCCCGCAAAAATTGAGGCGGTGATGACTTGGGAGGTGTCGAGGTCGCCCACGGAGATCAGGAGTTTTCTAGGGATGGCAGGCTATTATCGGAGATTCATCAGGGATTTCTCCAAGATCGCCGTGCCACTCACCAAGTTGACCCGGAAGGGTGTAGTTTTTGCTTGGGGTCCAGAGCAGCAGGCCTCCTTCGAGACACTTCGCCAGAGATTATGTGAAGCCCCGGTGTTAGCCCTTCCGGAGGGAATGGAGGATTTTGTGGTATATTGTGACGCGTTGATATCAGGATTGGGAGCAGTACTTATGCAGAGGGGTCATGTGATAGCGTATGCATCGAGGCAGCTGAAGCCTCATGAGGCGAGGTATCCTACCCATGATTTGGAGTTGGGGGCAGTGGTGTTCGCCCTCAAGATCTGGCATCACTATTTATATGGGGTCCGGTGTACCATATACACGGATCACAAGAGCCTGAAGTACTTGATGGATCAGCCCAACCTGAATATGCGACAGAGGAGATGGTTGGTTGTGGTAAAGGATTATGATTGCGAGATCCTGTACCACCCGGGAAAATCCAACGTGGTGGCCGATGCCTTGAGTCGTAGGGCGGAGAGTGTTCCGATGCGTGACATTTGTATGAGGTTGACCGTGATGACTCCGGTGTTGTACACCATTCGAGGAGCTCAGACCAAGGCCGTTAGGCCAGAAAACCAGAAGAGAGAGCGGGTTGTCGGGCAAGTATCGAAGTTCGTCACCGATGGTCGGGGGCTTATGATGTTTCAGGGTCAGATCTAGGTACCGCATGTGGGCGGAACGCGTACCATTTTGATGGAAGAGGCTCATCGATCGAAGTTCTCGATCCATCTCGGGGCCACTAAGATGTATTTGGATCTGAAAAGGGAGTATTGGTGGCCCTGTATGAAGAGGGACGTTGCATGGTTCGTGGAGAGGTGCCTAACTTGTCATAGGGTTAAGGCCGAGCATCAGAGACCGCACGGCAAGTTGCAGTCATTAGAGATTCTCGAGTGGAAGTGGGAACAGATTGCCATGGACTTTATCACCAAATTGCCAAGGACCACGAGGGGCGTCGATGCAATTTGGGTGATTGTAGACCGGTTGACGAAGAGTGCTCATTTCCTCGCTATTAGCGAGAGCTCTTTTGCAGAGAGTTTGGCAGAGATATATGTGAAGGAAGTGGTAGCACGGCATGGAGTACCGATCTCGATTGTCTCAGACCGAGATGTGCGTTTCACCTCTAGATTCTGGAATAAATTCCATGAGGAATTGGGTGCTAGACTGCATTTCAGTACCACGTACAACCCCCAGACTGACGGACATAGTAAGCGTAAAATAGCCTTTTTCCCTCCTGAGGGTGCCAATGGTAGGTTGAGTGTAGTCTCGAGAGTTATATTTATAAGAGTATTTAATTTATGTGAATAGGCGAAGACTAGGCAATATTTCTACCGAGTCAGAGATTTACCGAGACGCCTGAGGTGAGTCTTCTCACTATAATTTACCTAGTGTGGTGACAGAGTTATGTGATAGAGTATTTTAGAGTTATATGGCAGAGTAATTGCATGTTATTTATGTGCTATGATTTATTATGTTTTATGCATGATTCAGAGTTACAGAGTTAGGACCTTCGGTTCCACAGAGTTAGGACTTTTGGATCCACAGAGTTAGGGCCAGAGGGCCCATAGAGAGTTGGGGTTGGAGGGCCCCACTGAGACACCTAGACCTAAGGGTCAACAGAGTTCCAGCTTCGAGTGAGTATTATGTGTTAGAGTGGTATTTTGGGGAACTCACTAAGCATTTATGCTTACAGTGTTATGTGTTATGTGTTTCAGGTACCAGTGATGATCGCGGGAAGGCGCCGACATGATTCGTACACACGCATACCAGAGTTTATATATATTTTGATCTTGGGTTTTGTATTGATACAATGTTGATACAATGTTTTGTTTATGATTTCAAATGATATTTTCTGGGTTACAAAAGTGAAAATTTGTTCAAATTTTTACGGTGTTACAATAACGCTTGAAATCAAAGAACTTTTTTCATGACCTAATGAGATTATAGTTTGCATACATTGATGAATAGATTCATTTGTGATCCAGATAAAGGTGTAGGAAACACATATAATTTTAAGTAACTCTGCAACTGTTGTTTGTATGTTAGTTATTGACTGTTGAAATCAAAATGTAAAATTGATATTCATGTTATGTACTTATTTTATATATATATATATATATATATATATATATATATATATATATATATATATATATATATTTCAAATATATAATCATTTATTATATATTATTTTTCGTTTAATTTTAAAGAAGCTTTAAGAGGAAGAAGAAATTGTCATTAGAGTGTATTGATGTATTCCTCTTAGGGGGTGTTTGGGATTTGAGATTGCTTATTAAAAATGCTTATTGACGTATTAGCTTTTCAAAAAGTCAATAATTTTTAAAAAGTTTTTAGAAAACACATAAGTCTTTTTGAAAAGAACTTTTTACCCCTTCAAATAACTCATTGTTAACAAAGGGGTGTTTGGGATTGCTTATTTAACTCAATGAGAACTTTGGGTTTTGATAAAATCCGGTATAGGTAGTATCAAGGTATATTAATTGTTTCAATGGCATACGACATGAGAACCAAATTAAGGGTTGTTTCTGGATGGTATTGTTGGGGACAAAGTTATTATCTCAAAAGTACGTTGTTATAATCTATAAACCTATTGAATGATATCTCGAGTTTTCAAGGTTCATGTTAAAAGTACAATGTACCAAAAATATATTTTCAAAGCATTCACCAATTCATGCAAACATTCTTGCATGATTTGTAATACAAAATAGTTATGATGGAATAGAATCACAAAGATCTAATGAGATCCAAATTGTTATACTAACTTTTCATATTTTAACTTCTTTTCTGATTTGAATGTCAAGGATTTGTTTGTAAAGTACCTTTTACATGAGATCCAACAACATATAAAAATACAAAAATCAATCCAACCCATATGGAGCATAGGAAGTACACTAGTTTGACTTAAGGCTAGAGGTTTACTTGTATTGTATGAAATCAAAAACGGATAGCCGGTCATCGTTAATTTCCTTTCATTTTGTCGACGATGGAGACCTGGTTCGTGGTAGTCGTGTCCCTCTGCGTCGCCGCCCTTATCAGATCCCTACTATTCCACCGGAGAAACGGTAAGAAGCTACCTCCTGGGCCGTCTTTCATTTCCTCCAACTTCTCACTGCTAACAAGGTCCCGCTTGGAGTTCGAAACGACCCTCATAAATCTCAAGTCCAGGTATGGATCACTCATCACTCTTTATATCGGTTCTCGTCCTTCCATTTTCGTCGGCAGCCATTCTCTGGCCCACCAAGTTCTCATTCAAAAAGGCGCAGTTTTCTCCGATCGCCCTAAATCCTTCGCCATGATGAACATCTCCTCAGCCTCCTACGGCCCTACTTGGCGCCTCTTCCGACGCAATCTCGCCTCTGAGATTCTGCATCCCGCTCACATCAAGTCCTACTCGTGGGCTCGCAAGTGGGTCCTTCATATCCTGATCAGTCGTCTCCAGGAGCAGAAGGAGGTTGCAGGAATCCAGGTGGTTGATCATTTTCAGTACGCCATGTTCTGTTTGTTGGTCCTGATGTGCTTCGGAGAGAAGCTTGACGAGAATCAAATCAATGAAATCGCACGAGTACAGCGTGATATGCTGTTGAGAGTCGGGTCGGGTCGATTTACCGTGTTGACTATGCTCCCAAGATTGGGGAAGATATTGTTTACAAACAGATGGAAAGAGTTCGAGCAATTGCGCGAAGATAGAGAACAGGTGTTGATTCCGTTCATCAAATCTCGAATCGAAACAAACAAATCTGAGTCCCAATTTCGAGACGAGCAAATCGTGGCGTACGTTGACACTCTGGTAAATCTACAGCTTCCCGAGGAAGAAGGTAACAATGAAAATGGTGGAAAGCTGACCCACAAGGAGATGGTGAGTATGTGTAGCGAGTTCCTTAACGCCGGCACAGACACCACGTCTACTGCTCTACAATGGATCATGGCGAATCTGGTGAAGTATCCTCACATTCAGAGCAAGCTTTACGACGAAATCATTTCAGTCGTCGGACCACCGCCTCCACCGCCGCCGCCAGGGGTAGAACCGGAATCTGTTATAAACGAAGAGGAATTAAAGAAAATGCCATACCTGAAGGCGGTGGTTTTGGAAGCACTGAGGAGACACCCACCAGCACATTTCGTTCTCCCCCATAGGGTCACAAAGGAGGTAGAACTTCTAGGGTTTACGATTCCAGAGGGTGCGAGCATTAATTTCATGGTGGCAGAGATGGGTCTGGATCCAAAGGTGTGGGAAGATCCGATGGAGTTCAAGCCAGAGAGGTTCATCAATGGTGATTTCGATATAACTGGAAGCAAAGGGATAAAGATGATGCCATTTGGTGCAGGAAGAAGGATATGTCCAGGGTTTGATTTGGCTCTGCTTCATTTGGAATATTTCGTTGCCAATTTGATTTGGTATTTCCATTGGAGTCCTCCCGAAGGTTATCATGTTGATCTCTCGGAGAAGTTGGAGTTCACAGTCGTCATGAAGAATCCCCTGAGAACACAAATCTCTTCCAGGGTCTAGACAAAATAGCAATATGTCTATAACGTACATAATTACCTAAATAAGGAATGTATAAGTTCTCTTGTAATGCAAATCTATCTATTTATGTGATTCAATTACAATTATGTGATTCTATATATGTATATCTTGAAGTAGTCAATAAAATCAACCATACAATCAAATATCATTTCAAGAGTTAAAGATTCTCACATTCATTCACCACCAATCAAAGACATTTTCCACTAAAGACCTTTAAAGATGACAAAATAACACAGGAACACCAAATTTTGGACAAATAGTCAAAAGCTCACAGGGTGAGTGAATATAAGTAGGAGACAAGGTGAAGGAGTAGGTTTGTAGAATCATAGACAATGCAATTTTGGCCTGATTAGTTGCAAAATTGGATCCTACACAACTTCGAGGCCCCAAACCGAAGGGAATAAACATTGCAGGGTTGTTGTTAGTAGCTTTAGCAACTCCTTGGGAAAATCTCTCTGGTTTGAATAAATGAGCATCTTCTCCCCATATTCGAGTGTCGTGATGAACAAATAAAATTGGGAAATTAAGTCTTCTATTTCCCGGAATTTTGAGTGCTCCCAAACTAACATCGTGCTTTGACTTTCTTATAAGTGAAACTACAGGAGGAAATAGTCTTAGGGTTTCGTTAATGATCATGGTTATCTGCAATCCAATCGAGAGAGAAGGTTCAAAACTCAAAAGTGTGAATTAGGGACAATTTGGAATGAATTTTTAATGTTAAATGGGAAACAATTAATTAAAATTACCATTTTCATTCTGGAAAGATCATCAGAATTAGGGTTCGTTTTGTTGAATAACTTAAAGCTCTCTTCCCTTGCTTTTTCTTGATAATCTTTATGAACTGCAAGAAGGAAAATCGACCATGCTAGCAATCCTGTGGTGGTCTCATGTCCCGCGATGTAAAACGTCTTGAACTCGTCAATTATATCTTGTATTGTAACTTTGTAGCCATGGTCAAAGCTTTGATTAGCCTTCATAAGTGATCCAAGAAAGTCATTACCAAAGTTATTTATTTCGCCTCTCACTTCCTTCTCTCTTCTCTTCACAATGTCCATGATAGATTCTCGCATCATTTGGTCAATCATTTTAGATTCCGCATCATCCTTTGTCCTAAAAAGTTACGCGATATACATATGTTATTACCAAAGAAAAACCCTAAACCTGATTTTTGATGCAATGATTGATTGAAGAATGCCAAAAGTTTATAGTAAGGTTTCAAGAGTGTCTTAATAAAAAGATGTTGGGAACTTAACTTGAAGGGAAGTCGTGTCTTGTATGCATTTCTAGCAATTATAGCGGTCAACTTCCTGAGCATTTGAAAAATCTCTTTCCCTTCAACGTAACTACTTCCGAAAGCTGTTCTAGATATGATATCTGAAGTTAACAACTTAAACTCTTCATAAACCTCAATCTCTTTTCCTTCGTATTGTTTCCATTTTTCTAGCATAACATCAACACTTGCAACCATTGCCGGTGTCATATCCTTCAAACACATTGGTTGATTAACTTACTACTCGTGTTTGATACAAAAATTATCATTTTCTTTGTTGTTCACGATGTTAATGACCTACTTACTCTTAGACTATTTGCATGAAAAACATGGTTGGCGAGTTTTCTCATCTTTATCCATTTTTCACCACTTGATACCACAAGACCATCACCTAATAGTATCTTAAAATACCCTTCAACATCGTCTTTAGGAAAAGCTCCACTTTTGTCGTTCATAACTTCTTTCATAATGTCAAGATCCGTTATCACCAACTCGGGTTTTGGACCATTCCAACACACAAAAGTATTACCTAAATTAGCATTAGTGAAGCAAGAAAATCATCTTAACCCTACAAATCATAAACAAAAATTATTATATTCATATATTAATAGGTTTTACAACTTCTTGTTACCATATGTGTTGATCCATGAGAAGATGTGAGGTTGAACTTTTGGTCCAATATGGAGACCTAAACCTTCCATTGGTTTTCTGTCGGTGGATTTCTTGATGTTCATGATCTCTTTGGTGTTTCCATGCAAGAATCTATAAGGGGGGCCATTGATTCCATGTGATCTCATCTTGCTTTGAATCCAAATTGGTTTCCACCATACTTTGTATAAGAACTTAATGAGGTAAGCACAACAGAGAGAAATTGAAAGAACAGTGAGTGAAAGAGAAACGGGTTTCATTTTTGTTGATTCAAGTTATAAGAATCAAATTAAAAATTGAGAGTGTATTTAGTTAGGAAGTTAATAAATTAAAAGAACACCATGGGTAATTATGGCTTTATGTAAAACGAATTTTCCCTCTTTCTCTCTCAAACATGTCATTCTTATTGGATGATTTATCGTGTTAAAATATTATCCATATCTTGCTGTTTAGATTGAATTATTTTTAAAAGATATTGGTAGGCCTAATTATGATTACACAAATGTACTACCAGAGGCGTGGTTAAATAGATTTAATAATTAATCATATTTTTTTTATAATACAAACAACATAATCCGTCAAATCAATATTATTTAGATATTAACCTTTCTTACATCATTTTCTTCTCGTCCTATTGGCCCAATTGAATCATTAATTTAATAGAACGATATCATGTAATTAATTATACAGTTATAATATATATATATATATATATATATATATATATATATATATATATATATATATATATATATATATATATATATATATATATCTTTTAGATTTTGGACAAGATCGTATAAACAAGTTGACATCATTTATGTAGGATTCATATAAAACGTTGCCTTTATATAAATTAGACAAACAATTTTTTTTATTACAGAAAACATGTATGAAAACAAGTATGATATTTTGTAAGAATCTTTTACTTGGGATTAATCCAAACCAGATCTAGAAAAGAGTGTGTTGGATACCAATTGATTTGCCTGTGAGACAATTTTCTTTCTTTGGCAGTTATTCACATACTTAGTTTCAAATTCTTTAAAATTATGAAACATTATCATTTTTCTTCTAGTCAAGTTTTTGACCATATGTTTAAAAAAACTATTTAACATTTTAGTGTACTTTAAAAAATATTTACTATATTAGTATTTTTTTTCATTCTCTTTTATTTATCATTTTTTATAATTTTAAATATTCGATTTTTATCTTTTCCTCTTTTATTTCACCTTTTTACAATTTCTTTTTTTTTTTTTTAAATAACAGATCTTTTTCATTATTTTACTTTTTTTTACTGTTTTATTTAATAACAGTTTTTTTTTATCTTTTTTATTTCTGTTTTTTTATTTTAAATATTACATATACAATGTTTTTGGTAGTCAAACATAAAATCTTAAAGTTTGGTATATTAAATCGTCAAAAACTTCTTATTTGATGAGTAAATTATATTAAAAAAAAAAAAAAAAAAAACAAAAACGCCGTTTATAGTTTTATATATTCGAAACTATTTTACAATTAAATTGGTTCAAATGATAAGTTTGAAGAAATAAAGTACATGTAACATCAAATTAAAATTAGTACAATGTATGTATTGACAATATAAATATTAAAAATGCAACAAAAAAGACTATATATATATATATATATATATATATATATATATATATATATATATATATATATATATATATATATATATATATATATATATATATATATATATATATATATATATATATATATATATATATATATATATAACAAATAGGGAATCTAAATTTAAATTGTTTCTATTATATTAAATGCATCTTACAATGATCATTAATAAACTTCGTTTTATTTTCAATTAAAACAATATTTTGTATAAAATTCAAGGATGATGGGAAAATTTAAAAATCAAGATATGATTTTTTTTTTTGAAACGGCAAACTAACTAATCTACTCCTAAATAAATACATATGTCTCCACCGTGACTTGAACCACTAACCTCTCATATTAGATGGTCATTCCATACCGCTAGGTCATTGGCCATTTGGTAGATATGTGGTTTATAAAGTAAGGTGTGTTTAGCCGTACTAAATTTTATTTTTTAGAGTAGTCGGTATGAGACCAACGAGATTCAACGTATCCGACGTGGAACGTGCGCAACGGCTGCATAACGGGGGGAACACCGCCCCTCCTGCTCGTTGCAACTCGTTGAGGAGGCATCTCGTTGGCGTTGCGACGGGAAGAAACGGATATATTTTGACCGTTTGATGCAACGGTTTAAAAAAAATTAATTATTAAAAAAAACCAATTTATTATCCTATAAATACCTCTTATTTTTTTTTTTAAAATTTTCACACTTTCTCTTCTCTTCTCTACATACTTTCAATTATCTTCAAAAAAAAAAAATATGGATCCTTTCGACTCGTCCGATGATTCAGATGACGATATTTTCTTTAGGATGATGTATCATTATTACACTACCGACTTGCTACAACCAGACCCAGCCCCGCTACTAACAAGACGTGCGATGTTAAACAGAAATCGCGAGGAAGGACACGAACATCTATATCGCGATTACTTTGCGGATAATTGTGTATACGGGGCGAAAGACTTCAAAAGAAGATTTCGTTTAAGTAGGGATGTGTTTTTACGAATCGCCAACGCCTTGGAAAGCTGGTATCATTTCTTTACTTTATTTTTATACAAAATAAATGAAAATGTACTACATGTTTCTTTAATTTTACAACATATGCAATATATTTTTAAACTGTAGTTAATTTATGTTTAGGTACGAATTTTTTCAATTAAGATATGATGCTAGAGGTAGACGCGGGTTTACAACGTTGCAGAAATGTGCTGCGGCCATTCGTTTGATGGCTATGAGGGAGTCACCCGACACCATGGACGACTATATGAGAATGTCCGAAAGAACCGCTAGAGAGAGTTTGTATACATTGTCAAGGGGTGTTGTTGAAACTTTTGGTGACGTGTATTTGCGGAAACCTTCGTTGCATGATTTGCAAGAATTGTATGCGGCGCATGAAGAACGCCATGGGTTTCCCGGAATGATCGGAAGCATTGATTGCACACACTGGAAATTGAAAAATTATCCGGTAGCATGGAAAGGGCAATACGCAAGTGGTCATCACGGATCACCTTCTTTGGTGTTAGAGGCTGTCGCTTCTCAAGATTTATGGATTTGGCATGCGTTTTTTGGGGTTGCGGTTTCCAACAACGACGTCAACGTTCTTGATCAGTCGCCAATATTCGACGATCTTTTGAATGGAAAAGCCCCGGATGCTCCTTTCACGGTGAATGGAAACGAATACAAATATGGGTATTACCTTACAGATGGAATATATCCTCAGTATTCCACATTCGTGAAGGCATTCTGCCACCCGGTTGAAGAACGAGACAAATTTTTTAAGAGAAGACAAGAAGGAACACGTAAGGATGTGGAACGTGCTTTTGGGGTGCTGAAGGCGAAGTGGCATATAGTCGAACATGCAGCACGACCATTGGATTTAGAAACTTTACGATATATCATGTATGCGTGTATCATAATGCATAACATGGTAGTAGAAGATAAAGGGCGAAATATTGCACACTATATCCCAACGGAGCCTAGACACGTTCAGCTTCAACCAGGAACAACAGATTATTTGCATCGCGTTGTTGACATTCAGGACGCAAATAAACACAGACAACTTCGAGAGGATTTGGCGGATCATATCTTCTATGGTAACAATAACGATAACGAATAACGTTGTATTTTTTTTTTTTTTTTTTTTTTGTATTTTGATTTTTTTTTTTTTTTTTTTTTTTATTATGTGTAATTTAGTCTTTATGTTAATTTTAATTTTTAGAAATTTTTAATTGTTTTTTATACTTTTTAAACATTATGTTTTATTTATTTTAATTTCAAAAATACTTCTCTAAATTTAAAAAAAAAATCGAAATAAATAAAATAAATTATAAAATGAAAAAAAAGTTGGTGTCATAACAAAATATAACATGTTGCTCATTTCCTCACTTGGTGTTATAACACCATTGATGATGTGGCATGTGATGTGGCACCAAAATGATGTTGCATCTAGTTACCCACACCTTATGGTCTTAAAAAACAAAAACATATGATAAAAAAGCTCTTTTTATAAGAGTTTGGAGCTTTTTTTTTAAAGTTTTTATGTAATCTTTCAAAATTTTATGACTACTTTGCAGATATTTGAAATAATAAAAAAACAGAAATAAAAAGATAAAAATAATTGTTATTAAATAACAGTAAAAAAGATTAAAAAAAAATAAAAAAAAGCTGAAACACAAACTATTATTTAAAGAAAATAAAAGTAAAAGGATAGAAAATGAGAAAAAACGGACATTTAAAATAAAACAAATAAAAATAAAACTCCCTAGGTATATTCACAAAATTAATTTTGGAAGAACAATGAAAATATCTAATTTTCGAGCATTTAAAAAAAAAATATTTTTAAAACCCATTATATGTTCACTATTTTCTATGAAAGCTGTTGTTTATTTTTATTTTATTTTTTCAGAAAAATCACTCATATCTTTAATAGTTGTTTAGAAAACCATTTATATTAAAAAAATGTTTCAAAATACATATTTTTTTTTGTAAATAAAACATGCTCTTTCCATAATACAACATAATTTTTTAATTTGGACCATATATTTTAATTATTAGAGGTGAGAATGATTTGGTTTTGATTAAAACCGAAACCTTTTTTTTTTCCGTTTTTTCATATATCATTCTTACGAATTTTGATTCTTAAAATAAGGACATGCAATTCAAAATAACGAACGTAGTTATAATTCAACCGTGTACTTCAAATGTGCCATGAAATTTTATTATAATTGAAAATCCAATGAACCATAGTGATGGCTTTCTTGTTGGAAGCTCACTTAGCTCTAATGATGGGGTCACTTTTAGTTCTTAGAGCTAAATACATTATGATCTTTTGAGAAAATCTATAACTATTTATCAAACACATTATTCCAAAATTAAATTACGTTTTTCAACTTACTCTTGAATGTATTAGTATTCATCAACAAACTCTAAGCATTGTTTTGACGTACTTGATCCATTTTTATTGGATTATATGGAAATACCTCTTCAAATATAAAACATTATTTGATTCTAATTTGTTTGGAGATTGATGATTGATAGCCTTGTGCTAATTTGTCTAGGAGGGGTATGGAGATTCCCTCTATCATGTGTCCTTTATGTGATAATGGTGTGGATGTTTCTCACTTGTTCTTTTTGTGTTCTGTAGCCATGTCATTGATCTTGCAGGTGTTTAGGTGGTGGGATTTCACGATCTCATTGTTGACATCTTATTCTGATTGATTATCTTGG